CAACCATCTCCTCACTTGGGGGCAAAATCAAGTCTCTTTTGTCTCGGGGTTTTACTTTTTCTTTGCCCTCTTCCTCCTGGTATATATATATAAGGTTCTCATTCTCGTACTTTAAACCGCTTTTTCTCTCTCCGTATTTCTTCGCAATATGATGACGGGTCAGGTACTTGCTTTTCGTAACGTCATGGCTTTTCTTCTCTTTATCCGAGCAATCGATTTAGGGAATTCTTGATCTCTATTTTTGATCTCTGTTTTTGACTTCATTCGACTTTTCTTTTTGTTCCTCGGGGGGGAGTTTTTTTTTTCTTTTCTTTTTTTTTTAAAAAAAAAGCGAACATACCCTAACTGGTCGGTCATAGCTCTAACCTCTTGCCACGGTTTTCACTACTTTTTTATTTATTTTTCATTTCTTACGGGTGTTAATTTGAGATTCGGTGTATGGGATGTGAATGAAATTTTTGGTGCGTTTAAATGCAGGTAGAGAATTGGTGTTTTTTATTTTTATCTTATTTTATTCTTTATTGAGTTTTTTTTTATTTTTTTTTGCTCACTGTCTTTCATATACATTGGGGAGCAATTAAATTTTTTGGACTTGACTTGGCCAAGCAGGAGCTCATCGTTCTACCGAATCATGCTGGTAGTGCAATGGCTGGAACACTTTTGACTAATTGGTGATGTCGGAGCGGATGAATGGCTTGACGCGCGGCGTTCTAAACTAGGCTATGCTAGGATTAATCGGTACGAGTGAGGGGTTGTGATTTGCTTGGGAAAGTCCGATGGTCTTGGTGAGTCAGAATGACCAAGGGTGGAGGTGAACTTGAGATGTATGGCATTCTTACATATACTTTGTCAGAGTGCCAGCATTGCGTGCCCTGATGGGCGTGATGCGGTGAGTGGGTACCGTCGGCGTTTGCATTGGCGCCTTATGGGATGGACAGGCGGCCGTATGCATTGCTCGGACATGCGCCCGTTGGGTCATTGGAGTTGTGATTGCTGTGTGCGCCATTTATGGCTTAGGCTTTGATGTTGGGGGGGGTTAACGGGTGTTTTCGGGCCCGAGTGGTGAGTGAGATGTTGTGATATATAGTGTACAGGTAGTGTCATATAATAAACCTGCAGAGGGGGCTGGCCTTTCGTGGCAGGGCCCAAGGGGTCCGGTTCAGGCCCGTGGTGGTATGCCGTATGTGCTGACGGGCTCTTGGGGAGCCCCCCCCCCTCTGGCGCCGGAATATGTTCGACTATTTGGCGCGGGGTAGGTGGATGGTATTTTTTTTCTTTTTTTTTTGGTTTGGATATTTGTACTGGGCCGGTGGGGGTACAGTACCTGCATCTGACGTGAAAGTGGTGAGCTCTAATGGAGGGCGGGTTTTGAGACCTTTATCTGCTCATGGCAGATTGCAAAGTGAGCCTCCCCTCCACATCTGTAGTGAGGGTCTATAGGGACGGGAGAGGACTTGGTTAAATGCTAAAACTGGCCCCCTGAGCCCAGGATATGCTTGTGGTGTCGGCCTCGGCAGCTCCCTACAAATATTGTGGCCCTCGTACTCGTATATATCGTGCCAGAGCTAGATATTGCTACGAGACTCCCCAGGCCCCCCTGCCAAAACAAAACGAATGCGGGCTCTAAGGTTATTATGCACCGTTGTGGGAACAGACGATCCCCTGGAATTGCATCCAATATGGGTATCTATTCTCGGGGTTTCGCCATGGCCCTCGGTTTCTAGAAGCTTTCCGTTTTGAAATAAGCGTCATGGGCGGGGGGGGCACTGGTGTTTTCGTAGGCGTTGCTTGATTGGTGTTCCACTCCGAAGAGCGTGCATCACCGGGAAGCTGGACCCTCTTAGGAAAGATTGGTACGTGTAACAAAATAAAAGCGTGGCGTTCCAAGATATGATACCTCTTGGATTAAGCATAGACGCCTATGCCCCTCATAGTGATCATTCCTGGCAGTCAAATCAATACCCCTCAAACACCCTTAGCCCTTCTCTGCCCCCCAACCTCTAAGTTCCACAACCTGCACGGCTTCGTTTTCATGTCCTCGTGCATATATTCTCACGATACTGAAGTGAATTTTCCTGGTATTTCAAGGGCCACTGGTGGGCCCACCATCCGTACCGTGGTCGTTCTGTGGGTATAGGTGAGTGCCCTACTCTCCCGCTTTCCAAGAGTGAGCATAGTAGTCAAGTATTTCATATTACTTATCATACACACCTGTGATAGTTCTTATCAAATTCGCTCACTTTACTTTGCGCCTGTGATACCCAGATGAACGCGGCTGGTGCATGTTGCTGGCAGATCTCAGACATCAGCGGTATGTCCTAGGAGCGACCTTATCGTTACCACAGGCACAAGATATTATGATAGGATATAGGGGTAGTGAGTGTCACACCACGGGAACTAGATACCAAGACCTCCGACGTGATAGGTATTGTCACTATGGGGCAACCAGATACGGCCACTTATCGTCTGGTCCAGAAGTTTGTGATGACAGGCGGGAATCGACGGTGGCAGGAGGACTGGCCCCACGACCAATACCTGCCTAACAAGTTCTCACCGCTTGACAGCCGACCGTCATGGCATATTGGTATCATGGTCATTCCTGACAGCGTTTGGATTCCCGTATATCCCCACACTTGTTCCAATCCCTCCCACTAGGGCAGGGCTCTTATGGGTCTAGGTTTGCCCTGACATCTAGCATGATTCCCTTTTCTACCTCACCGGTATGATAGTAAAAAAAGTATAAGAATGAGGCATCCCCACCCAAGCCTAAGAGGGGCGATTAGGGATCAACCACACACACGCAGAGAGGGATGGCGGGGGCTCACCCTTTGCCCAGTCGGGGGTACAGGAGCGCGGGGATGGAAAGGGCGGCGGTGTTAGGGGCTTTGGTGAAACCTTCAACTCCGACAGACAGACCGTCAAAACGTAATAAATAGGTGGGGCCACCGTGGATGGGAAGCTATTCTACTATTATCCCGTCTCTAGAGTATGAACTAAGTGAGATTATGGGGGGAGTTCGGATTGTTTGTTGGGCGTCGATGCTGTAGGGGGGTTGAGTAATTGGTACGGTACGGTATTGTGGTTGCTCTCACGGCTGTCTGCTTATATGGGTCTGTCACTCTAAACGGTGTCTTGGCAGGATTCTAGAAAAAGGGTTGATGGGGGCGACGCTGATGCAAAGCTGGCCCTGAAAAAAGGGCACCCGGGTTCGGGTTCCAACTAACCTTCAGCCCTCTCCCAATAACATTTGCCGGTCACCGGGGAACAGGAAAGATGGGATATCATACTTCATAGTTACCCAGAACTCTAGATGGATAAAGTGCCGCCAGAGCTTACAGGCTCACACCAGAGAAATGGTGGAAAATATCCTACTGTACTTTTTATGGAAAACCAGCCTAGCCTAAACACATTTCTGAGGTTCATCGTCTCTCACTCGGTCGGGAACTGCTATCCTCAGAATCCCGTTTGGGGGATCGGCCATGTTGTGCCTAATCGGATGCGGAATGGCTCTACTGCATTGGGTCTTGTCGGGATGGTTAGGTATCTAGTTCGTCGTTCAGAAGGGGGGAATTTATGAACCTTGGAAAATTGTGAGTCCCCTGGAATATTGTACATCAGCTGGCAAGAATGCGATCGGGTGAAGGGCGCACACGAAGGCACGTACATAGATAGCTATCGCCCGTGGCCACTTAAACCTGGTAAACATCTCCACGGGTGGGTCGGCACAATACTAAAAACATAGGGATTGAAAATAATGTTATGAGAAGCTACCCCCTGCCACTCAGGGCTGTGTTGGATTTCTCAACACTGTTCTTTAGTTTCAAGGGATTTGGTGACTACTGTAGCGACTGTAAGCTTAGACGAGAATGCCCTTGACGAAATTATTTCATATCTATCTACTGTGTTATCCGCTCAGGGCTTTAAATCAGCCACTAGATATTGGACAAGTGAACAAGAACTACCCTACTATACCCGAATTCTAAGAGCCGAGATTTCTGGATTCAACTCAAGATCTTTGTACTGTATACTATATAGTACCCTTCTGGTGGCTTTCTATAAAGACCAGGGTTTAATCTTGTGACCCGAGAGCTTGTAACTCCCGTAGCACTCTCCTCCGTCGGCCCCTTGAAGACCCTCACTTGCACAAAACATTCCACAAGACCGAGCTAGTCACCCAAGTTTCGTCTCATCGGCCACACACATAACAATCCCAAACGGCGGGCAGACCACAGGGGAAGCCAGAGGGTCACTTGGCAAAGGTGTTGTGGGGTTTCCAAAATAGCCTGTTTCTCGTCTCCCATCCACAAACACCCCACGGCGATGGACTCGATACCCGGATCGGGCAGTTGCACTCTCCCACGGCGTTCCTACCTACCCATTCGTTGAAGGGGGGGGGGGGGGGGGGTGTCTTCTTCGAATCCCCTCTCACGGCTACTTCCGGGTGCGTCGGGGGCTATGTATCAGAGGGCTTCCAGGCCCATTGGTGTTTTTTCGTTTCGGCACCTGACCAGTTTCACAATCGAGTGAGGGTGAGGAAGCCGCTCTGCATGGTGACTGGGGATCATGAGGTGCCACCTGCAAAGACCAGGGATTGAATGCATCGGCCGAATCCTCTCCTTTTCTTAATAAATTCTCGAGGTATGATATGATGACCCCTCTCTACGGTGCCAAACCTTTCCACCGAGGGCTATCCCGCTTGTTTTCACATATGCCCTCCCGGTAGTGAATTGTGTGCGATTGAGACCTTATGACGGTATAGGGCAAAAGGAAAAAAAGAAAGAAAAAAGTCGGCTAGATCACGAGCCTTAGGAATGTGGTTTCGTGATCGGACCCTTGAACTCCAAGCATGCGGGTGGGTCGTTAGGTCAAACCCGAAATTGTCGGGACCCCGGTAGGATTTGCTCCTTTGATCGATGATGACTATCCATCCTCTGGGGGAGTCAATTCAACTTTCGCCACTTTTCCCAAGCAGCAGTTCCAGGCGGTAGCAGCGTTTTAAGCGGGGCAAAGAGATGCAGGTACGGTACGGTACTCGAGTATACGGTCGTGGTAGCCTACGGGGTAAAAAATACACCGGCTGGAGCCTAAATTAAATAGAATCAGCCATCGACCGAAGGGATGTATCATAAGCATTCTTCGCCAGAGATGGCACAAGGGGACCTCTCTTTATTTCACTTTTCACTCCTTCGATATCCCCGCAATGCTGTTATCATACCTTAAGTTATCATACAGTAAATTTAGTGTTCAAGCGCGTATCATATTATTCACACACACACACCAGCTGATTAAGCAGGAAAACCACCCGCCACACCCTGCAAGTTAACGATCTTCACATGAGCCTCACTCACACAGGGAACGCGGGTAATCCCACAACCTCATCTCCCAATGCACCAACCTGCATCAACCTTCTGGGATGGTGCACCCAGCATACCGGTATTTCCAATTACTCAAGTACCTTAATTAACGGGAGGACATCCTAATTTATCGAGTTTTTTTTTAGCTTTTTCTTTCCTTCTCCTTCTCCCCGGGAAAAAACAAAAGTGTGTGATGATCTAGATCTTCATACACCCTCCATCTGGCAGATGTGTTTTGCTCGAGTACCGATAGATTCAGGGGCGGTGCGCGAACCCAATCGCTTCTCGCATTTGCCCTCTCCCCCTCTCACATCCGATGGACTCGTCAGACGCCACGTATGCACTACAGTACGGTATGATACTCGTACAGTCTTCAGCACGGTATGGGTATTGCTCCCGCGAAAACCACTCACCCACAGACCCGAGCAGGATCAAACTCGAGTGAGAACTCATGAAAACCAACCAACCGTTTATCATATCATACCACGACGAGCCTCGCCTCCCTTCCCAAGTCCTCTATATGTGTGAAAGGAAGGGGCCAAAAACAGTATCACACGATCGCGCGGTGGAATCCCCACGGTACCGTGCCCATCAGGAGGAACACCCGGTAATTCCCCCTCACCCCAAGATCCCAAGATCCCAAATAACAACCACTTGGGTGACACCATCCGCCCGCACCCGTCTAGGGTATGTGTGCGCACTGTATCACTCACTCGCCCACCCAGCCACCTACCCATCTTCAGCCCTCCATTCACGCAAAAACTACTGGCCGACCCTGCGAGCCGAACCGAAACAAAACAAAACCAACCCACTTCTTTTCCGGCAACATTTTCAACAAAAAAAAAAAAGGAACCTCGGAGAAGAGGATAAAGAAGAGGGAGAGGGGGGGGGGAAGCCTTGTCGGCGATGAGACTATCGAGTAAGGCGGGCTTCGGCGACCTAAGGAATTGTGGGATGGCCGGGATATGATAAGCAGTGTTCGGTTCAGGAGGAGGAGGGAGGGAGAGGGGGTTCAGCTGGGTTGGTTCGTGTGGGGGAGGGGGCGTCGGGTGGAGTCGGGTTTGGGTTCGTGAGGCTGGATTTAAACGGGGGGGGTATATTTTGTATTATAATACCGTATGATACGGTGCTCGAGAGTTGGTACGGTATAGTGATGGCTATCATACTGGTTGGGACTGATATTTGGAAGGGGTTGTTGGCTTGTAGGGAGTGTATCCCCCCCTAACTACGGTATCGTATGGTACAGTACGAGCACAGCGCTCCTCCTGAGTACCGGTATGTTACGGGACGAGGCGATATGATACCGCACTGCACTGTTACTTTACCACAAGAATATCACGAGCAGTCTACAAGTACCGGTAGAGCATCCCCTATTAAATAAATAAATACTGTAAAGAGGGAAACCCATTGTAACCAACACCACACCCACCACACATGCCAGTACCACATATACCGGTACGATACCATACCACAAAACCCGATGTGCTCTCTCTCCCTTTCTCTCCTTAATCCAAAGAAGGGGGGGGTTCTGACGTTCCAGCGTCATTCTACGAGTATGAATACGGTGGCCAACCCCCCCTGTGGCGTACTGCACTGCACTGCACCCTGCGACTAGGCAGAGAAGAAGAAGAAGAAGAAGAAAGGAGCCTGCGTAGCACACGTAACTTCACTGCCCAGCACAGCATAGCAACAGCACCACCCCATCCATCCATCCATCCATCCATCCATCCATCCATCCATCCATCCATCCATCCATCATTCCCAACCCCACCTCACCTCACCTCACCCCAGCAAACTGCGATGAAGCTTCCGCCACACTCCCTACGAGGAGAATTATAATCCTCCGATAGTAGACTAACTGTGCAGCGCGGCGGCGTCAACTACTCGCCATCACCCCCTGAAAAAAAAAAAACTCAAGTCATCAGCCCGCCAAGACAATCAATCATCCATTACTCATGATACCTTCAAAGTTGTAAGCTCCGAATAATTACCATCATACGGCATCACTCAGCCCGGCAACCAATATCCTTGTCCTGCGAAAGCCTCCTCTTCCCACCAACACAGATCTTGATCACATCCCTAATCCCTGTCCCGCTCTCATACCCTCCCCCCCCCCCAAACCTTTTCCTGCCTGCCGACCCTTTTTTCGGCCAGTATTCCCAATGCGATGCGATGCGATGCGATGCGATGGATGGATGGTACAAGTACCGTACCGGTATATAATACACTTCGTACGACACCCACGATACGGTACGGCACTCTCCCCCGAAACGCCAAGATTCGGGAAAGCGCAAGTCCGGCCACAACCGACGCGAGTTAGTTGGACGCCGCCGATTGGTATTTAACATCGGTAAGGGGACCTCTCAACTAGGACCTGGAGGTATCTAACAAGCAAGCAAGCAAGAAAGCGAGAAATGCCCCCCCATCAACTCCCAATCTACGGCACTTCTACATTACTATTCCGCGTTGCCGGCACCGTGCTTGTACGAGTACTTCATATTTTTCCCTCCCTCCCCGGATCAATCGATCTCCAGCCGCACACAATCGAGTGATAATCCATGTACCACAAATCCTTGCGCATAAACGGTATGATACGATAGAAATCCTTTTAACTCACCGCGATACGGTACGGTGCAATAATCCCACCACCACCAGCACCACGCCGCACAATGCGACGAAATGCCAATGCTAACCGCCCCGTCATCCATCCATCCATCCACTCCTCCTCCTCCTCCTCCTCCTCCCCCCCCCCCCCCCCCCCCTTTTTCAACGCTGACAACGAATACCGGTAGATGAAGAGGGTAGGTATGACAAGAAACCATCCCTTACTTCCCCGCTCTGCAGACCGGAAGTAAGGTAGCAAAATTCGAACACTGATAATAGTTGAATTCAGTGTACTGTACGAGTACGGTACGAATTTCGTGACAGTAAACGAGACGAAGAGAGAGAGAAAGGAAAACTGGGATAAACTCATCATGTATGATAATGAACATTATTCTGAGTAAGTTAGTGCGGTAGGTTAGGCATAGCAGCGATCAATCAATGCACCAACGGAACGGGGAGTGACCAAGCGCCAAAGTACCGGTACGCACGGTAGTGTGCGGTGCTCTATTCTGCAAGTACTGTACTCGAGTACTGTACAGTACAGTACTGCGCTGCGCTGCACTGTACGGTACGAGTACACCATGCCCGGAGTTATGCACGTCAGCGGCGGCTTGATGCTATATCCTGCGATGGAGCGCTGTACTAGTACGGGTGCTGGTAAGGGTACTGTACAGCGCCGCAAAGTATAATTGGTGGTACACACGCGGAGCGCGGGAGTAATATCGTATAATATCAAACCGCATCATATAATAGGTACCGGTAGATGCAATGGATCTGACGGGAATTTTTTTTTTTTTTTTTTGAGTCGAGTCGAAGTTGGGCGGGTAACTTAGGGGGGAAGGTATAATAGCATAGGGATGTACGGTAGTACGGCAATGGAAAAGGGGTGATCGGGGAGGGGGGGGGGGCACTTATGCTATATAGCTGGCTGGCTGGTTGGTTGGCCATGGTAAATCGCATATACCACTGGTCTCATATAAACTCTGGTGGAGTACCGGTAGAACATCACCACAGGCAAGCAACCTATCATACTGTATCATAAAACGAAAAATAGCGTTCCACAATTTTTTTTTTCCTTTGTTGCGGTGTCTCCTGTTCCGTTCCGTTCTGTTACGTCTTTTTTCTCTTTTCTCTTATTCTCTCCCCTTCTGCAATCTTTGGGTAAAACTTACACCTCCGCCGAATCCTCCCCTTCAAACCAACTAGCAAGATATCAAGCCAGCTTTCCAAAAGAAAAAAAAGAAAAAGATCCATACAAAAATTCTCCATGAACGTATTTCCCGTCGCAGACCAAGCAAGTTACCATAGAACTTGGTAGTAACAGCAGCCTACCCAGACAGCCAGCCTGATTTCCGTCATGATATATCAAAAAAAAAAACACACTAATCCTTGCATCCTCGCTCCTCCCTGCCACCCGACCTTCAGGGCCTCCCTCTCCCTGTGCCAATTTTTTTTTGTTTGTTAATGAAACGTAAGAGAAGAGTGTATGCAAGTAAAGTGAATAAGAGCAAAAGCAAAAGCAAGCGTTGCGAGCGAAAAAAAAGAACGCAGTGATGATTGATAAGTTGGAATGAATGAAAAAAGCGTATTAGCATATTCGCCAAGGTGATTGATGCCACGGATCGATTAGAGAAAGAAGGAGTATAGGGACGAACGACGTGTAGAAGAAACTCCAAGGGTATGTTGGAAAGTGAAAAAGAAAAAAAAAACCAGCCTCCAGATTTTTTGATAAAAGAGGAAAATGAAAAGTGAGAAACGGTATCAGATAAGATGAAAAGATCCTCCTCAAAACTGAGAACCATTTGACAATGCTTGGAAGAAATTAACATTGCAAGAAGGAATTGACCCATCTCCCAGAGGATATGGGGCGGCGACTAAATACAAATCAAATTTCTTCCACAGCAAAAAAAAAAGAAAAAAAAAGAGAAAATATTAAAAGGTAATGTAGAAAAAGGGTCCTCCAGTGGGAACCCTCGCAGAAGCGCGGGGGGGGGGGTTATCCCCCATCGAATTATAGAAATGAAGTGGAGTGAAGTGAAAGAAATAAAGAAAGAAGAAAATCAAGAATTAAGATCAATGACTTTGTTTTCAATTTCTCTCTCCCTTCCGTTCAATGGTAGCCCTTTTTTCCGTTCCTCGCGCTCTTGTAATTCTGACAGTCTCAGTGGTTCTCCAGCAAATTCCAGGAGTCCCCCTCAAGTAAAAGAGAGCCCACAAAAACACACTATGTGGTATACAATATCAAAAATGAAAAATGACAATCAAACAAAAAAAGTGACGCTCAAATGATAGTTAAAGAGAAACGGAATGCAGATGCTCAAGTTGCAAGTGCGAATAATCAGACAAATCAAAGGCAACAAACAAAGGAAACTAAAGGGAAATGGGACCAGAGCAAAATAACCAAAAGAGTCCAAGACCAAACACGACCAAACCAACTCGACTTTCCAGTTTTTAGCCTTCTCCTTTTGAACATTTTGATTTTGGTGATGAAATATGCAATTTCGATGTGGTTGAATAGGGGTCGATTGCGATGAGATGGTATTTCCCTCAGTGGGCCAAGAATGGTTGCAAACAGAAAGGCATCGGACGATGAACAGATAAAACAGGCGACAAGTGATTAAAACGAACGTGAAGCTTCCGTCAAAGGAGTCATGAAAGGTACTGCTGTTGGTGTTGGGGTGTTGGGGTTATGGGCATCCGTGCCGAGGGAACACCGTCATCCGCAAAGTATCCTGCATTAGGTGTTACCGGCGGGGTGATGTACCCCATGGAAACCTGCTGCTGACCCTTTGAAGGGGTCATATGTACATCCTGAGACATCACCATGTCTTCATCCATTGCCGTCCGGGAGGATTCATACACTTCCGACGGCGGTGTAGGGGGCATGCTCTGTTTTGCAATCTGTGCCTGACGAGCTAAAAACTCCTCCAAGATCGTCGAGACGCACGCGTATTCCGGGCTGGCATATTTCCGTGATAGAATTGACGAAGGGCGGTGCAAATTCTGAGATAAAAGGACAAGAACATTCGTATCGTATTTCCCAGCCCATTCCGAATGACGAGGGATGGGGCGGCCAAGGATGTGACGAGCAAGAGCCAATGAAGACCTCGCCATAACAGATGGCCGTACGCTGACAAAATCCTTGTGAAAAAGTGCAACCTCCGAAAGATACCTCGCCATGCACTCCACCTCAGGGTCATAGTTCACCTCCTGAAGAACCATTTGCAAGAAGCTGTCGACCGTAGGATGTCCAACAGCCCAGTTCAAAGTTTGGAGCACGTGCCACTCCATCTGGATAAACATGTCCTGATCGTAAAGGCCGCAGCACATAGACTTCAACTCCCGTATTGTTGGCACCCTATCCTTCCTATCTCCATATTTAGCCGCGATAAGCATAGCTGAACATCCAACCAATTGGTAGTGACGCTTGTAGACGACACGTTTCGAACAGTATCGGTCGAGAAGATTGACAGTAAGGAACAGGGTTTCCGGGAGAAGTGAGAAAGCTGTATGAGCTTCGATGAGAAAATCGAGGAGATACGGACGCATGAACCACTGAATTTCAGTTTGTATGTCGATACTAGCAACATCCGGCAGAGTCTCGGCCTATACTCTTGTGTGAGCATTACAAAGGGATAACGATAAAACGGGGAGCGGGGGAGGGGGGAGGTGGACGCCAACCTCCATAACCTCCATGTGGTCGAGAATATCTTCTTGATACTCCTCGGAGACCATCCGGGACATCTCATCAGCAATCTCCATCTGTGTTTCCGCATCTAAGCGAGCCTTTTCCTGTCTTGACCTGCGGGCTGCAAAGACGCCATCCTGTTCCATATCCTCCACGAAATAAGAATCACAAGGTTGGTAGGCCATGGTTGCGGTGAGGAGGGGGTATAGTTTTTTTAAGTATTAAAGAAGCGAGTGGACGTCGAAGGTTCGATTCTTCCGTAAAGAAGGGCTATTGCGAGGACTGAAGACGTCTTCGCAAAAAAAAAAAAAAACTATAAAAGAAGGTGATCGGAAGTTTTTCGAAAGAACGACAAGAAATTAGGAAAGAAAGAAAAAATAACAGTCTGGCGAATTAGAGAGAGACAGGATGATTGAGGGAAGGAAGTTCCTTTCTAACCAAGACTAAATCCCCGGTGGGTGGAAATAGTATAAAAGGGGACCCCTATTGAATTGAGACGCCATAAGTCAGCAACCATTGCCATTCAATCTCGGAGTGAGGGGCTATAAGGGTGGAGCAATGCATGTCCAGAGCAGCCCGTACCTTTGGAAACGATTAGAGCAGGCAAGAGGGAAATTCCTTTTGATCACAATGCACAAGCAGGACCCGTGTGATAGACGACCCCTTACTCAATATCCCGTGAACCAATGTCAAAACGGATGGGAACAACCGACAATGGACCGCACACCGAGAATGGGAATTCTTTAGCACAGAGGATGCCTTTTACCTCAGAAGAAAACGAGCTAACGTCTCTGAGGAAGCAAAAGCCGCCGTATGTGAGTCCGAATGACGGATAAGGGGGTATGGTGCGCAAGGGCGAAATGACAAGGGGCTGAGAGACGAGAGAAGACTTTTACGGAACACGGGAATGACTACAAGGTCGACCTGTGTCTGAAGAGTCTGTATGTTGAGAGGTTCTCGAGGATGTCCTGACGCTGCAGCGAAAAGGAGGTGAATAAGGAATGAAGGAGTGGAAGGAACGTGTGGAGTCTGTCGACGCAACCAAAGGAACAGTCGGTTAGCGAGGAAGACAACGAAAAGTTGAAATGAATGAATTGAAAAAGACCGGGAGGCAAAGGTGGACTATTCAGTTGGGAAAAAAAGGAAAAGAAGGAGAAGAGAGAGCCTCTCTAGTAGTTGCAAAGTTCGGACACTTTTTCAATGGGCTTTTCTTTTTTTTTTTTTTTTTTTTTTCTTCCTTTCCTTCCTTTCCTCCTCCTCCCTCAAGTGCAGGTGGAATAATCCCAGGGGCCTGGCAGTTCGGGTCCACTGGAAAAAAAGAAAAAGAAAAAAGGCCCTGGGCACATCGTTTGGAGCAGGAGAAAGCCTACTCGAGAGGAGCGGTGCATCCCAACACAGCTCAACCAGACAAAAAGAGAGGCTGCAGCCAGCAGTGATGGACATTGATACCCCTTCCTTGCACCCCATTTCAATTTGCTCTTCACCATCACCATACCGGCTCGTTCCCTGGCTCGCCCATGCTGACAACCCGGGAAACTTGGAAGGTAAAAGAAAAAATAATGAAATCATGAAAACGATAGTAATAGTGACGATAATAATAATCAACAAAATATCACGAGAAGGTCGGGGAAACACATTTTGGAAGGACTATTTTTCCTCCCATCAAAAAACAAGCTTTTTTTCTTTTTTTTTTTTAAAAAAAAAAAAGAAGGAAAAGAAAAAAAGGAAGAGATACACGGGCGAGTCGGTAATAGTGTTGATCACCCGTGTCCCGAAATCACTCGAGTAATGGATGAGATAGAAAATGGGGAAAGGGGAAAAAGAGAGCAGCTTCAAGGAGATCGGGTCCTACTAACAGTTGGAGAAGTTTTGATTCAAACGTTGAGATGCGAAAGTTGACCGGGAATAAGTCACTTTCCACCAAACTTTTCTTCCGCCTACAACAACCGGTTCGGCTAGTCCAGGTCGAGATTCGCCAGCAGTCAAAACCTGCAAAAGCCTTATTGACTGTTTCACGGAATCGCCCCGCCTGTTGCGCGGACAGAGAGCGAAAGTGATGGGGGGTGGGGACGAGGGAGAGAGAGGATGATGAGGGAGAGGATGTCGACCCGGTACGACAAAAAATTGGCTCGAGGACACACGAGGGAGGAAACGATGCCAGTCTTGTAGGTTAGCCTAGCACCTTCAACTCCGTCTCGAAGTTCAATCGATTGGTTAGGCCTGCCGGGCGATGCGGGGGAGGGGGAGGGGGAGAGGGAGAGGATGGAGGAGGAGGAGGGGGGAGAAAGAGAGAGAGAGAAAGAGAGATGGAGGAAGAAAGAGAGAAAGAAAGAAAGAAAGAAAGAAAGAAAGGAAAGGCTGCTCTCTACCAGGAGTTGATCTCTCTCTGACTACTCGAGTACCGACTGGGGAATTTCAAACACACACACATGTGAGCGCTATGAGGGGGATTACTTTACTTAATCAACCCTTCGACGTTGCCAAAAGATGCAAAGCAGCACCCTGTCCGCTCATCCAAATTCTTGTGCTTCCTTAAAAGCCCCAGATGGGTTCTTTTTTATTTTTATTTTTATTTTTATTTTTATTTTCCCTCCCTACAGTATGCTAGTACGGTGTTGTAGCGCGATGGCGGTAATAGTAAGGAGGTGGTGGGTGAGAGAGAGTACGGTACTCGTAGGCAAAAGAGCATGGGGGGTGTGATGAAGGACACTGTTTCGCTTTACAGTAAAGTAGGTAGCTGAAGAGAGCATGTCGGTCACGGCCGCCGCGGTACTTCACCAGGAGTCGAGTAGAGGTCCCATCGCGCTTTTCACCCTATTTGTGTATGCGAGGAGGGCATGGTACAAGGACCGAAGAGTGTCTTGACAAATGAGCGAGCAAAAGCCAAAAAGGCTGGCCGGACAGTACCTAGCTGACTCTCATCATGTTCGATAGACCCGCTATCCAATGGAGAAGCGTACCAACCCTTCTTCAGTACGCCGCCCTTTCCAAAGCACCTTTCCCTGCTGCTCGCCCAACCTCACCCCCCCCCCCGTTTTCGCTCTCCCAACTGCATATCAAGGGGTTATAGGCATGTAAGAAGGTAGGTGGGACAGCACGAGTGCCCGGTTTCTGCAGCACGCGTATTGATTCAAACACGGAGAAGCACAGTTTATTATTTATTTATTTATTTATTCATCTATCTATTTATTTATTCATCTTTTTCTCTTACCTCCTCCGGGCGTTTGTAGTAGTAGATTCTACAACTAAGAGCACAGAGCATGCACCGCCAATGTTTTACCCCCCCCCGCCCTCTTACTCATAAAGATCACTACAATACTTGTACTCGGGTGCACTCGAGCGGGGCAATCCATTTAAGCTTTTTTCGACACCGTGATACACACATATACCGGTAGTCAGATATCAGAGTAAAGATCAAGAAAGAAAGAGGGCAAGAAAAAGAGTACCAAAAAATTAGGATAAAAATCCAAAAGTGGGAGCACGCCTCGTTGGTGGATGGGAGCGAATGCCTCCTCCCTATGGGTGCACTTTCTTCGTCCGATCCCCAGGTTGCTTCATGGCCGCACGCCTAGGATCCCCAACATTGGGAAAACCCTGGGGCGCACACGAGTGGAGCAGTAGCCGACCATTCGGCGAATTAACAGGCATTCGTACCTCGACCAAGGGTCACGAAACGGATCTCACTCTGTGAGCCAGATGGGTTTCAGGTTACCGTAGGATTTGACTCTCGATTGCTTCCCGTATCGAATGCCGGGCTGGTATATACGGTTGCATAGGGTAAACCTTGCCCTTGTGTCCCTTCCTCCGGAGTGGATGGATGGTACGGGGGTTACCCCCATACCGTACCAGTACCGGTATGGCATTACGGTACCTGTACTCGCTCGAGTATGGTAATAATATGATATGCCACTGCGAAAGGGAAGCCCTCCCCCCCCCCCCCCGGAGCACACGCTTGTTGCAAGAGTGGCTTGATCATCAATCATTGGTGGTGTGAGTGCATTAGCAAACTGGCGCAGCAGTTCACATTTCACAGAGGACAGAGGAAGGAATGGGGGGAAAAGAGGAAGAGAAGAAAGAAGAAAGAAGAAAAGAAGAAAGAAAGAAAAAAGCAAATAAGGGGTGGAGTTGCTCATGAGATGAATCTGCCGGACGAGCATCTCAGATTCGAACGTCACACAGGTCAAATCAGCATACCGGTAAGGTACCTGTACTGTCGAGTACAGCTAGGAACGGTACAAGTAGGTACCGTACTCTACATTACACCTTTCAGGGAAGAAGGAAGTCATATCATAATATCATACTGCATTTGCTTATGATACTACTTGAACCAGAAAAAGAAAGAAAGAGAAAAGAAAAAAAAAAGAAAAAGGAAAGAAAACAAGAAAAAGAGTTGTTTCCCCCCCCCCCCCATGTTGGCTATTTCCCAATTGTCTGATTCGGTTTCCTGCGTTTCTTGCTCATCTACTTGAGATCAAACATCCCGGGGTGATTTTTTTTTTCTTTTCCATTTTGACCGGGCTGCAGTGCGATAAAAAGAGAGCTCTGTCCGGTCCATCCATTACCAAGTCTCAATGGACGTCATGACATCTGAAAAGGCCTTGTCTTGGCCCCGTAACCATATCATATCACCACACAGCACGGTAGTCTACCGGTACCGTTGTTGCAACTGCACTGCACCGTACTTGCACTGTACCAATACAGTACCGGGTAGTGCCTATGCTAAAATTAATAAAGCCAAACAAACAAACTAAACCTTAACTCGCAAGCATGATATGATACTACTACTCGAGTATACTCGCACGAGTGCTGTACCGAACCGTAGCTGTCTGTGATAGTAACTACTGTACTCGAATACTGTATCCACATCAATCAGTTGCGAACAAGGCCTTGGCCCTCAACAGCACCCGTTTTGTGACCGAAAGGCACGAGTAGAGTCAGAATTGCGTTATACAGGTTTAGTGCTCCTTGTTTTGTTTTTTTTATAAATTTTTTTTTTATAATGATGGTAAAGCATCAGCCAGGCCATTGTTGATCCCTTTCGCGATGCGCTCCCATGTGGACAAGAGAGAGTGTGAGAGTGTGAGAGAGGGCGAGGAATGCCGGTATCGCACCGGTATGGGTATCATAAGTGTGAGGAAGATCGATTACCGTACCTTGGGTGAAACTTTTTGTGGACGAGGGAAAAATGCGGGGGCAATACAGTACGGTACTCGTACAGGTACTGTAGGACATCCCAGCCCAGCCTAGCCTACTCGAGTGCTTTTGCCACCGAGCATCATAGGAGAAGGGATGGATTATCGTACTGTAGGGCAAACGAGGAAAAGAATATTGGACCCATTGGACCCTTTTCCCCTTTCCCCTCCCCCTCCCATAAGAAAAAAAAACCCGATACAACTATCACACTTGTACTGGTCGTAGGGAAATCGCGGCTCGTGATTGGCCATCGATGATGTATTCTGAACAGCCCTGGAGAAATTCTATTAACGGGTACTTCTTCACACCTTCAACTGATTTGCTCGCGTATCGTACCTGCTTCATATCAACGCGCGCGTGCACCCGACCTCTCTGCACGCGCGCAGAAGCAGAGCAAATTATGCAGGAATCTCGTAGGGAACTTTTTTCTTTTTGATAAATTAGGCAACGAACACGTCAGTGCCCGTCTACCGTAATTTCAACACCCCGATATGATTTCGGTTCCTTTCGACAGCTAAAATCGGTCAAAAAAAGAGGAAGAAAAGAAAAGAAAAGAAAAAAGGGTGAGGGAATGGCCTTGTGTACCATAGCAGCTGTCGCCAGAAAGGCCCACCCAGTAGCACTCGTTGAAGATGTCGCTACGGTCCGTAGCAAGCTCAAAATTGCCGCGAAAAGAGGTTCAGTCTTACGGTTGCCTGGGCAATTCCTGTACGGTACCGGTAATGTATGATATGGGGGAACATGGCATTGGGTATTCAGCCGACTGGTTAAGGGAGTACCGACGAATGGAAGGACGTGAAAGAAGTGAAGGGAAAAAAGAGAGGAATCGAATCCATGCAAATCACATTTCAGCAAAAAAAAAAAAGGGAAATCATGCAACCCATTGAGATATATGAATAAAAAAAATAAAAAAAGGACTTCGCCTTTTTTGTTCACTTCACCATCGCAAACTCGACCAGACCTACAGTAGAAACAATGCCGATCCTCCAACCTTCAGCTCGTAAAAACCCTCCCTAACTCGAGCACAATGCCCGGCATCCAGAGAAGCTCCCCCCCCCCCGAGCCACACATGGCAAAACTCGCCAGCCATTACCGTACTCGAGCGCCGGTGGAGAACTTCTCATCGTTAGGAGCAGGTAAGTGGCGGCACATAAAAAAAAAAAAGGGAAATGAAAAAGGAAATTTTTTTTCACGGCGGAGGAAAAAGAAAAAAGAAAAGAAAAGGAAAGGAAAGGAAAGGAGAAAGAAAAAGAAAAAAAGTCTCTGGAAATTTCTCGGGCTTTAGGTAAGCTTAAATCGACGATATCAATCCAGCTACCTAATCATCCCCCTTGTCAAAAACCTTGTGCGATATAACAATTTAACTCACAAGTCCAGCTCGGGTCGACGTGGATCGACTGAAGACCTTGTCTCCGAAATTGTAATTATTATAATAATAATCTGAGCCTCCCGCTCGTCGTGGGCCGCTGGTGGTGGTGGTGGTGGTGATGATGATGATAGCGTTTGATATTCGCCATCCACGAGTAGACTCTCAGGTTGAGCTCGAGCTTCGCCGCTGCCGGCGGGTGGAACATGTTGGCGGTGATAGGCTGCCAAGCCTATCACGTTGAGGCAGTTGCGGTAGGGTATCGGTGTCGGAGGAGTGCACTGCACCGGCTGTGCACGGTATGATGTGTATGATCATATGGGAGGCTTGCGCAGCTCCAGTCCCGCTGCCCTTACCGTAACGCAGAGATGGATTTCGCCATCCCACCGAACCAGGACTTTTGCATATTTGTGGCTTCGCAAAATCTCGCTTGTCGGTGTCTCGGAAAAAGGGGGAGAAGGGGGGGAGGGAGGGAGGGAGGGAAGGGGATACGGTAACTCTCTTTGGCTTCAACTGCACCCGGTCGGAGGCCTCTTTACTCGAGCACCGTACTCGAGTGATGGCTTTTTCTCCCCCTTCTTTCCTTTTTTCTTTTATCCTCCTGGCCCACCGTGCTTATGCACAGGAAATTGCGGTACGGCTGCATAACCCAATCAGCTTGCCATCATTCGCTTTCTGGACAGAACCTGACGAGCCAGGCCTGGAGGGTGCAGCAGAAGGAGGCATCGAGCACTGATACGGCTGCGCTAGACCACCGTACCCCACGCTGTGGTTGCTGCAGAACTAAACCTCAGAGGCGGGGACTGCATAAAATGCGCCTTTCCCCACCACCACCGCCACATCAGCTTGTTCCTGTGCTGCTCCAGCTGTTGGGTTGTCCTGCCGTGATATGTACCCGGGAGTCATCACTGTGAGTCGCTGTGGGGAAGGTGACTGGAAGGAAGACGTCCGATGTTTACATACGGAGTAAGCGCGCTTCCGGGTTGTCTAGCGCTCCTCTCTCTCTCTCTCTCTCTCATATAATAAAGTGGAGTAATAAGTTGACAGGTGGAAGTAAAAGATCTTGTCATCATTTATTTACCAAGATACGCGATTCCTTATCGCGGGGTTGCGGGGCGAGACGAGAAGAGGAGGCGGGGGGGGGGATGCAGGGTGTGTGTGTGTGTGTGTGCCAGAGTTATCATACACTTTTGGCAGGTGAGCTACCGTGAGTCAAGTTACTGGCGGCATCATGCCATATCATACAAGTAGCTCTTTGGTATGATACAAGTAGCATTTTGTGGTAAATAAATAAATAAATAGACCGCCGTAAGACAAGTCGAGTTAAGCCTAGGAACGCGTCTACCGGTGGCGTGGTCGCGACGAACTACGAGTAGCTAAAGAAAGAAAGAGAGCTAAGTTAATCCTGGAACGAGAGATCATCATCGATCACGGGGAACTTGGAACGATTCATTCCTTCGAACCTGATCCAATAGTTCCTCGTCTTATTACGGTACAGTACTTTTACTGCAGGGGGGCGGGGCGGGATGCGATGCGAGAAACAAATCTCACGACTCTGCACCATCGACAAAGACACAAATTTCAGCATGGCAGGAGCTCTACTTATGAACTTTCTACGGTACTCTACAGTACTAGTACATTGCTGGTAGAGTTTGGTTGCCGTGTGATACAAGTACCGGTATCTCGAGCACAGTAAGATGGGGTGCCGGTAAGCGGTCCGCAAGTCCAGTAAGGTCGGGTCAAGTCAAGAGTTGTGAAGCGTGGGAGCAGGGGAAGAGGGAAGGAAGGGAAAAAAGAAAAAGAAAAAGAAAAAGAAAAAAAAACAAGGCATCACCCAGCATCCAATTGCTGACTCGCGTTGCCTCCACGTCGGTAGCTGCATCCACCGGTAAAAGAAGTGCTCCCTCCGATTGTCGGTTGGGCGAGCAGCCAGTCCACGGCAACGTCAGTTCTGGACCTTCTTTCTGGAGATGTTTTCGCTCGCTGTGATGTGCATCTGCTCACACGCTACTGTGGGCTGTGGCGAATCCCATCCGATATCCGTTGGGAAAAAGAGGCACCGCACGGACTTGGAGACGTCATTGCCGAGAAGGAAAGCCGGAACAGGGAAAAGGGTAAACAAAACAAACGGCGCCGAGCAGCGACTGCTGTGTTGTAGGGCACAGTATGATATGTACTCGTACTCGTACTATGATATCACGCTAACCGGGCACCGCGCCGTGGTGTGGCATCACGGGTGCAGTTGCACGCTGGGATGAAAAGGAGCTAGCGTTTCGTGAGCCCGTGGAATCGACGCGAATCGCTGAGAATATCTCGACGCGCACGCGCACGGGTTGTTTAGGGCTACAGTGGGTACCTGTTGCTGTGTGGATACCGCGTGATACGGAACTTGTGTACGGTATCATCAATACCGGTATATCATATGCATTGACATACTCGAGCATACCGTTAGTGTTGATTCGTCGATTGTGACCGGGTCAGACTGGTTCTATCCAAAGGAAAAAAAAGTCCTGGTCGGGATGACGGGTAATCCGCAAGATGGTTGATGCACTGGACGTAAGTCAACTGAGCCTGTGGGCACAGGTACCCGTACCCGTATCACACGAGCACTCTGAATAAGTTGCTCGCCATATGTTGAGCCACAATTCGGGTCAAAGGCGGGGGAAACAAATCACTGACAAAAGGTCTTTACCCCTCCCCACCTTCTCTTTATGCTTTATGCTTCACCCCCCCTCCCTGCGTCAACTTCCCACACACACACCGGCCCCGTGGTGGTGGTCGGTTGTCAACAACAAAAATAACAACAAACCAACTCTGATGTTTTGGAAATCGTGCTATGCGAATACCACCGCTCGAGCACGCCTGGTCAATTCCGATTAGAACTGCCCCCAATTCGACTGTATCTCCGTGAGTCATGTTACCGGTATGTTCCCAGTTTGTGTGTGTGTGTCTTTGTGTGTAGGGGAAAAGCAAAACCGATACTGCATTTCCAGCCGTTCCTAACACCAGTACGGTACGAGAAGCTCTACAGTTATCGCATCACGGACCTTCCTGTCCACCCTACTCTGCAACATGCAACAGGGAGAAGGGGGGAGGGAGAGAGACCTGTCACAAAGGGAAGAGGGAGGAAGCAGAAGAAGTCGAAGCATGAGAAGCATAAGAAGGGGGCTGCAGGTAGGGTTAGCTCTGATTGTGGCGTACTGTCCCATACGGTACTTTACGATAATACATGGGGGCTCGTTCGTTCGGTACCCGAACCGGGGGTATGGGAAGGTTGGAGAAAGGAGGCGTAAGTTAAATAAAGTCAGGCACGTATTCCACCTCATCCATTCATCTATCTATCTACTGGTATGTCATGACGGCGATCTTAAGGAGGAATCCTGTAACCCCCCCCTCTCCCCCTCCCCGGGTGGTGATTATGATTAATCATCAAGCATAGGAGATAACAGCAGCGGGGCTCATTCCTGCCCTTCCATTCGGGTTCTCGTGTCTGTCTGTCTGTACAGTACTGTGCTGTGCTCGTATGATACCTCCGCGATAATGCGCTCGTCGGGTCAATAAACCTTGAGGACTAGCCTCCGGCCAGGGCAACCACGGTCAACCCTTTTACCTATCATATACCGGTAGGAAATCTCCAATTGAACCCTGTAGCCGTCTGCGCAATGTATGTATGCGGGAGAAGGGTGGGGGAAGGAAAAGTAAAAGATGAAAAAACATCACGTTTTTTTTTTTTGTTTCTGCGTTTTATTCTATCCCCACCCCCCTCCTTTTCTATCCACCTCTACTCTGCACTTTTGTATCATCCTTGCGGGTCTTGAGAAACTTTATAGTAATATGATAATAATATATTATTATATAGATTAAATTTGTTTTAGGGCTCGGGTTAGACAGGGTGGTAGCCAACGTGCGATACGATACGGTATCCCCAACTCCCCATGAGATCGAGACGGCTTACGTATGATAGCCCACTTCCTCCGGTCCATTCCAATGCAATTCCCATCCTATCCATCATGCGGCATATCGCCTTACTCACCATTAAAGTAGCGCTGGGATCCTCGAGTAGAGGACCCTGTCTTGTCTAATCAATAAGTGCCATCATCCCTGCTGGCACAGCCTGGAACATACCGGTATTCGCGATATAAACATTGCGAACAACGCACCAGAGGGCGGCAGGTATGGAGAGGTTGATGCATGGGAACGAGGGCTGTTGCCTTCGTTGTGCGAAGAAGGCTTACCATAATCTAGCCATTACTTGCATGTCCGCAGCAGCACCTGGTAGCCTCCCGCATATAGGACGTGATGGCTTGGCTAGCGAATCCTATCAAGCTGTTTGACACCTCCAGGGTGCTAGAGCATAGTGGTACGTCGAAATTTATATTACTTTCGCAAATGAAAATCGAAATATGTATACTTACGCACGCACACACACACACACACGCACACACACACACACATATATATATATATATAAAACGACCTAGAGATCCTGGCCGTGATGCGGAAATGTGAGTTGAGCTGAGCTGGATAGATTATTTACAGACTGTGCGGAAAGGAGAAAGGGTGTCAAAGAGGGACGGCATCTTCGTCACTGTTGGTAGTTGTGTTACTTTTGAGATATATTGGTCGATTCCGGATGCTTTTGGCTTTGGCGAGAACCTTGCCCAACATATCGGGGAGGGGGGGGGGGGTTTGGTGCGCTAGTTGGCTCTGCTGATAGAGTTCCCATTCCTAGAATGGAGATTTCTGGAAGTTGACTGGAACAACTCAGAGATCGTTTAAGCGATCTCCACTGGAGCGTTTGCTAAAATTGACATCTCGATATGCATTCCCGTATCGGCCGGGCTCCGTCATGCTTCTGCCAAAGGGATATATACGAGTAGAGAGGGTAATTCTGATGTGGGCCATCCTGGCATTGATAAAAGCCTCGCGAGGCCTCAAATCCGACCCTTCCCAACCCCTCTAATTGGAGGCATAAACACTCATAGCGATAATCAGCTTATGTTTGGCTCGTTTCCCCTCCCCGCGCCCTGTTTCAAATTGCATGAGCGGCTTGAGGAAAGAAGGAGCTGCCAACGTCCGCATCAGCTCCGTTTCCGTGAAAGACTGCCAATGCCCGCCGCGCCGTGTGCGGGATGGAGATGAGGTGCCATGTGGATAATCGCAGCCTTGTGTTCGGTTGAACTGCTTTCACCCTCAGTTGCTTACCCAGAGGATGTACCGGTACATGGCTCAGAGGTTTTGACAAGTAGTTTTCCAATTGATCCGATTCGGCGACGGTGCTGGTCCAGTGAGCAGACGACAGGTTGCTCCGTAGACCAGTGCGATTGGTACGAGTCCGAATAGGTGAATTGTGCGTTCGCCACCGACGGGTGTCACTCGAGCATATGTGCAAGGGGTTGTGAGGGGTGTTTACCGTCACGAGATGTTGTTCGATTGGGGAGGAGGGGACGTTTGTAGTTGTTGTTGTTGCTGGGATCACCGGCTTGGCGGGACTGCTTTTTAAGCCTCACGGAGAAACTCGGGGGTTTGGTAAGCGATCAGCCTGTGTATCGGCTTGCCTAGCCCGGAAGACGGGGACCGGTGGCCATTGTATGATATCCGCTATACGGTATCGTACTGTAGTATGGCTGCCTGCAGTATTATAACACTGACGGGATGCAACATGTATAGAGTGCGCATCAACTCTGTCTCCAGCCCAAATTGGGCGGCTATGTGCTCATTGTTATAGCAAAACGGAGGAGAGGGGCAGCAAGAGCAGGAGATAGCAATCCTGTGGCTATCAGTTGTACACAACATGATGTTGAGAGCAAGATATGATACTATAGCAAGGGTACCTGGCACCCGGGACCTCGCTGCGCGATCCTTCTCCATTGGGCCCAATCCCCCCCAAACCGGCCGGTCGAAGGGCTGTCGGTATGTGTATGATGCGTGGGCAGCGGGATCCGCTCCATCCCTATGCCCGTGATGTGCTCCAAAGTACTGTGGGTTACATAGGGTCATCGGTACAGTACAGAATGAAACGGAAAACACACAAATATATGATACCACATGTATCTTCTCGTCTCTCCCTTTCCTCAATCCCGAGCTTCCCCCTCCCCCTCATGCACCCACAATCAAACTCGGAAACAAAAGAATCTCCGTAGGCTTCCGTCTGCACGAGCGGCTGACCATACCACATGAAGTAGAGAAGGGCGATCCTGTGAGAATCTAGGAGCATACTGTTGCTGGTACATATATATCCCTATGAGGGTTGGTTTGCCTTGTCCGGTGCAATTGGCTCCTCTGTTTTTTTTTTTGATGGCTCGGAGTTTTCTTTCTCATCTTGTCCTCCCCTCCGAATCTCACAAGCGGACAATTAGTGTATCGCATTCGGTGATTTTTCCAGAGCACCGCATGCTGGTACGATGCTGGCGGGCTACTTGCACATTGACTGGGTAGGATGCTTGGAAACCCGGAAATGGTACCGTGCTGCAGCGGATTACGCCAGAAGTAGATACAATGCAGGAACATCTGCAATCGAGAGCCGGAATATCAATCCTTTGGGTACTGGAAAGCAATAAACATCCCCCTTTTCGGGCGAAGAGAAATCACACCCCCTGTGGAAAGTAGAGGCTGCGATAGGTAACCTTGCTAACAAATGGGTAAGGCAGTCACCTAGCTCGACGGGGTTCCACAAGCAAAGTAACATTCAGTTATCAGAGGGGGGGGGGTTCGTTATGGCATTAGACTTATGATAAATACATCGGAACTATATCAATACAAAAAGGTACCGAGGTCCTGCCCCGTTCTGCACGCCATAAAAATAGCCGTTTTTACGAGTTTTACAGTGTTTTTGTTACGGATCAAACGTTTTAACCTCACACTTTTACATTGTAGTTCGACCCGCAGGCCCCCCGCCAAATTTTTTGTTTTGATCACAATTATCGGCAAGGCAGCTGCTATGTGGATAGTCTACGGCTTTTCTCGTGTGCCCCGGTCAAAAGGATCCAAACTCCAGCAAAAGATTGAACCCACTGGAGAAGTGGCGTCTTCCATGGGGCGCGCTAAAAAAGTACTAAAGCATCAAAAAGCGGGTAACAGGGGACCACTAACTCCAACCCTCTCTTCTTGGCTTTGATAGCACTGGAAAATCACGAGCGGTGACTCGATTTTTCCTGAACGGCAAACGTCGCAGGAATTTTCGGTCGCGCAGGAGCCGCCTAGTTAGCGGGATTTAATCAGTATGGCATTCACTCCTCTCGTGCTTAAATTTATCGCTCCACAGGAAATGATGCGCCTAGGTGCCATTCTGCAAGTGAGGGACTTGGGGTAATGGTGAAGGAACCGTTACTCCTCCCAGCCAAAATACCTGTGGTGTTCCACAAACAAATCAATGCTGTTGTGGTGCCGGATACGTCTGTAGCTTTCTGAACGCGAACATTGATACCGTAATCGATAGTTTGCAGGTGCGCGAGGGCCAAAATCAAGTGAGTGACCTCAGGGCTGAGGAAGAGAACTTAAAGAATGCAAGAGTCGGTTTGAGGCCACAGTCACACTAAAGGTGTCTTGGGGTAAGTTAGTCTTTGATCTCTGATGTTTTTAGTTTACGCCGATTTGAGTTGAAGCTTACTCTCAATAGCCACTTCCCGCATACAACCTACAGTTGCACCAGGCTACCGCAGCTATATGCCAGATCGACGACGATATTCAGGTTTGAAGCAACCCTCGAATTGACACTAATAAGACGGAAGTCGAAGGTTGGAAGCCATCAATGCGAGAGCACAAAGACCCAATGGTTTAGGGTTTGCAACCTTCCTGAAGCTAAGCTTATGGGCCCAGTTGGAAGACACCGCCGGAGGCTGGCTTTAAGGTTTGGTTCATCGAAGCTAGCGGGTGTCGTGCAATTAGCAAACTTAGATTGCCGTGGGTCGAATGGCATCATAGTAGGATACTGTTTTTTTTGGGACTGCCCCAATCGGAGCAGTGGCGCTGTGCCGGGATTCATGGTATACGATAGTTACTGTTTTCCGTGAAAGTTGGACCGCTTTCGAGATCAGTCTCCTTGGAGCGCGTCGAAGCATTTTTCGCATTGGTAGTTTCCCTAACCGGAATATGCTCAGTGGGTTATTGTACTTTCATGGAGGGGTCCTCCGGTAAGGCTGCTTTGGAGCGGAGATCCGGGAAAAACATGGCCTGCGGGGAGCAACCTAGTATAAAGAATGCCGCCATACCCCGCTCCAGCTTTTTTCCACTCTTGAAGCCAGCCTGATTGGGTTGGGGTATGAGGGGTGGCAGTTTTTATTTATTGGAATCAGTCTGAAGCAAACTAGTTTACTGTGCCAATGTGATCTCATGTGGAGGAGGAGCACATCTCCTCCAGTCCGACGCTTGCTGGCCCCCTTTGTCAGTCATGAGCCATGGAAGCTCGGCTTTCATCCCTATCGCGCCGTTAATTTTGAGTGGCCATGACGCTCTGTATCTGGTGCGCAAGTCTTGCCTCTGGTAGTGAATATGTTGCACGCATCGGCGTAGTATCGCATCATAGTATCCGTTTTGCTCAGGGCTTGCTGGGGAACCGTCTCCCCTGCCCTAGGAACTTATTCATCCACTACCATCGAAAGGATACATGTTATATATAATAAACAGAAACCCCCCCACTCCCCAGTTATTCATCGATGGATTTTGATCACTTCCAACGGGACCGGGGCGTTGTAATTACATGGCACAATTCACTCGGTCTATGATCGAAGCTTCCGACTCTCGGGATGTTTGAATGAACCCGGTGAAGGGTCTTCCGACATCTGACATCCGTTATTAGGGGATCGAAGTATCATACCAAGAAAAGAAGCATTCACAGTCCGTCTAAACTCGGATTGAGCTCCTTCCTTCCTCCCAAGTGCTACGTTCGCGGTTCAAAGATACCGCCGAGACGTGGGAGGGTCATCAGAGTCGATGGCTTTTCTGATATCGGCGCGCGCGCACTGCATGTTTTGATAATTGAGGGGAGAGAGAGAAAGAGAGAGAAAGAGAGAGAGAGAGGGA